AAAATATTGGTGTATAATATGTTGATATTGATTTGAATTTGTGGCCCCAAAGACGTTTTAACTGCCCACTAGTCATCATCTCGTTCGCCCTCCCCCCAAAAAATTCGCACACAAGCTGAAAATAATACGTAGCGAATGAGTTAAATTGCGTAATATTAATATATAGCACAATCTAACCCAACCCTTTTAACACAAAAGAACTGCCACTACAATATGGAAATATGTTTTATAATCTATTTTATCAAGTTTGGAACACAGAATTCCGTTGGAATAAAAAGATAATCAGTTTTTCGTTCCTCCTGAAAAATTAGCTGAAACCTTGATACGTGGAACTGGCTCTTATACCAGGACGAAATGCTTCTTGCTCAAATTAAAAAGGCCGAGGTAATCAACGAAGTTGACAAGAAAAGGAAGACTATTTAAAACGCAAATTTTACTGATATAGAAGGGAGGTAATCTGTTTAATCATGTGGATTTTTATAAATTTTTCGGTAATTTCATCTTTGCATTCCCTAATAGCGGGAACTTGCTTACAGTGGGATTTTTCTTCTGGAACCAAATGTCCAGCTATAGCCATGTTCTACTGTAGTTATTACATGAAATAAACCAATTAATGTCGATCAATCCATAGTGCTTGCAAAGTTAAATGTCTATAAGACCAATCCGCCTTATTTCTTCAAAACCCTTTCCATAGTTTTTCTAATAAATAAACTAAAAGATTCGTGCTGTAAACGAGTAGGTCAATGATTCACAAACCGCATTATAAAATAATGAAAGCTCTAAACGTACGGGGACAACCACAGCCACCTGCCGCAGACTTATGCGGGTGGAACGTACAAACTTCCTGCTCCAATTCAATACGCAAGCGGGTTGGATTTACCCGTTTAAATGTTTCAGGTTTAAAGTCTCTAAACATGTAAATCTGTTTTATGAAGAATTTTCAAAAATTAAAGAATATTCATAATGACACTTACATACATACATAGAAGTATTCTTTACAAAATGTAGAAAGAGCGGTACATTTGCAATTATTTTTATTCTATTTATTACCATACATTTTTTTGGTCTCTCCTGTAAAATTTGCCTCAACGGACTTAGGAGTTTAGAAACTTACATGGACAATATATGCACTCACACACATAGCACACATCTGCACCCACACGCTCGCAAACAAATCCATACACATTTCAAAAAAGCAAAACAACTACTACTTCCTCTTTCTCTCATTCTTTTCTCCTTCTCTTCCTGTGTGGACTTTCACTCGCCGACCCATGACCTTTTTTCTCTCTCTCACTCTCGTTTTCATACCTCCAGCTTCTCCGTCTCTCTTTCTCTTCCCCATTCACTCCATCTTCACTCTCTCCATCCTCACTTGCACTGTCACTACTCACTGAGACCCTCTTTCTACTGCTCTTCTCTTCCTTCTCACTTTTCATTTTCTTTTTCTCTTTTATCCTCTTTCTCTCCAGACTCTCTTTCTTCTTCTTCCTCCTCTTTTTCTTTCTATGCATCGTCACCTCATCCCCCGAATCATCCTCTCCACTTTCATCCCTCTCTTTCTTCCTCTTCTTTCTCTTCTCCTTTTTTCTAGCATGTTTCCTCTTTTTGTCTTTTCGGTCCAATGCGCCCTTTTTCTTCTTCTCTTTCCTTTTGTCTTTCGTTTTGTCCTTCTTCCTTCTGTCACTCCCCGTAGAGGAGGAGCTGGAGTGTGACCTGTCGCTGTCGTAGTCCTGGGGGTAGAGCTCCTTGAAGCCACTGTGACCCCACCTGGAGGCAGAAAGGACAGACAGACAGACCAAAAAAAAAAAAAAATCAACATCAGACATCACAAGAAATGTTTTACACACTTATAATCTACACAGTTTAGTTTTAGTAAGAGTTTTTTTTTTCAGAAACTTGAAATATAAAAAGAGTTGGACCTGTTCTAAAGGCCACCTGTATAAGCTGCTATGCCCCCCCAACTGGATATAATAGGGACAGAGAGACAGGCAACAAACAATATCATCAGACTTCTCTAGCAAGGATGGAAACTGATAAGTCCAAAATTTACTGAACTTTTCGCATGCTCTGAAAAAAATTAGTTGTTTTTATTCTGTTAGTCCATCCATGCCCAAACAAACTTTTTTAAAATTGATTTGTCAATCTCCCTCCCACTCACCCAACCACCTCACTGAACTATTCTCATCCATTGTCCACACATTTTCCAAAGATAATCCAATTGAAATAGAACAGATCGAATCCAATTTATAAATCCAGTGGAATTAAGGAACGGATAGACACTGAAGTATTACTCTGAATATAGATCTAGCAGTATCAATTAATAAACATCAGGGGCGCGGGAAGGCTACAGAGCAAAACAAAGAAAGCATGAATGAACAGACTGAAGTTACGTTACGGAAAATGACGGAGCAAATAAAAATTATGGATTCCCTTAAATTTACAAAAAAATGTCCATCTCTGCAGTAGAAATATTATTTTACACTCCTTTCAACCCAATTCTATTTCGCTCAATTTTAGTAGTTTAAAACTCTCTCCCTCTCCGACTCTGTCTCTCTCTCTCTCACCTGTCTGGGTCCCCATCCTCTGCCTTGTGTAGTTCCCTCATCCAGTACATACTCCTCTCTCTCTCTCTCACTCATTCTCTCTCTCTTTCTCTCTCTCTGTCTCTCTCTTTGTCTCTCTCTCTCTCTCTCTCTCTCACCTGTCTGGGTCCCCATCCTCTGCCTTGTGTAGTTCCCTCATCCAGTACATACTCCTCTCTCTCTCTCTCACTCATTCTCTCTCTCTTTCTCTCTCTCTGTCTCTCTCTTTGTCTCTCTCTCTCTCTCTCTCTCTCTCACCTGTCTGGGTCCCCATCCTCTGCCTTGTGTAGTTCCCTCATCCAGTACGTACTCCTGTCTGTCTGTGACTGTGAGCCCCGGTCATCCATGTGGGCATGTCTCCGGCCACGCCCCCTTATGTCTGCCGACATATCCTCTCTGTGTAATAGAAAAAGAGGGTAGAAGGGTGTGAGATTAAAGAGAAAGAAACAGGGAATGGCGTATGTCAGAAGAGGGGGAGAGAGGGAGAGAGGGAGAGAGGGAGAGGGAGAGAGAGAGGGAAAGAGGGAGGGAGAGAGAGAGAGAGGGAGAGAGAGAGACAG